ATGTACGCGTACCGAATCCTCGGCACTTTTTATTCGCGTGACGATAAATTCCACGCCTTATTCGAGAAATTCCCCAGAATAACTAAACCACTCGAGGAGATTTCATCGGTGACCAATCGTGTGGTACACCACATAGTCAACCGCGGACCACCAGTCACGGCAAGACCACGCCGACTGGCACCTGACAAATTAGCTTTCGCTAAACGTGAGTTTGACAATTTACTATCTACTGGTATTATTCGTCCTTCTCACAGTCCTTGGGCCTCTCCGTTACACATGGTGCGCAAAAAGGATGGGGTTAGTTAGAGACCATGCGGCGACTACCGAGCATTAAACGTAGTTACGCGCTTTGATAGCTATCCCATCTTCCACATACACGACATCACAGCATCGCTCAAGGGCACGACTATCTTTTCTAAAATCGATCTGGTACGAGCATATCACCAGATTCCAGTCGCTCTTGAAGACATCGAAAAAACTGCTATCACGACTCCTTTCGGTCTGTTTGAGTTCCTACGAATGCCATTTGGATTAAGAAATGCTGCTCAAACTTTTCAAAGGTTTATCGATAGCATAGTACGAGACTTGGATTTTGTTCACGTCTATATTGATGACCTGCTGATCGCATCATCAAACGTAGATGAACATTATCAACACTTTACGCTATTATTCCAACGTCTTTCGGATAATGGAATAGTAGTCAACCCAGAGAAATGTGAATTGGGTAAATCAGAAATAATATTTCTGGGTCACATCATCAGACAAGAGGGTATTCTGCCTTGCGAGGACAAAGTTCGAGCAATCAAGGAGTACAACGTGCCGTCCTCAATCAAGGAACTGAAGGCTTTTGTCGGTTTGGTTAACTTCTATCGACGTTTCATCCCTCACGCGGCAGAACGGTTACGACCATTAACCGATTTACTACGCGGTAATCCACGCAAATTAGAATTGACCGATACCGCATGTACTGCATTCTCAGAGATCAAAACGGCTCTCGCTGAAGTTACACTTCTCGCTCATCCTGACCAATCAGCCACGCTTAGTATAGCGGTTGATGCATCAGATTTCGCTATAGGAGCCGTTATGCAACAGAATATCTCCGGTAGTTGGCAACCCCTCGAATTTTTCTCACGACGCCTTACTCCCACGGAGACGAGATATAGCGCTTTTGGTCGCGAGCTGCTTGCAGCCTACTGCGCCATCAAACATTTCCGGCACGCAGTAGAAGGACGCCAATTCATTTTATTCACCGACCATAAGCCCTTAACGTATGCCCTGCATACCAAGTCTGACCGCTACTCACCACGAGAGTGTAGACATTTGGACAATATCTCCCAGTTCACGACAGACCTTCGTCACATTAAAGGCGAGTCGAACTACGTTGCCGATGCTCTATCACGTATCCAGATGAATGCAGTTACCTTACCGGTGCTCGATCTTCCTGCTATGGCCGCCGCGCAAGCAAACGATCCTGTTTGTACAGAAGCACCACAATCTTCATCCCTTCAGTGTCAGGAAGTACCCCTAGCTACTAGCTCAGGTACTATCCTATGTGATATTTCTACCGGTCTTCCTCGACCCATCGTACCCTCTGCCTATCGCCGTCTCGTCTTCGATGCTCTTCATGGATTGTCTCATCCATGTATCGCAGCCACATTACGTCTCATCGCTGCACGATACGTCTGGCCGTCCATGAATAAAGATGTTCGTATGTGGGCAAAGCAATGCTTACAGTGTCAACGATCAAAAGTGCACAGGCACGTAGCTGCCCCCATTGGCACGTTCGCTACGCCTGATGCTCGCTTTGATCACGTTCATATAGACATTGTAGGACCATTGACACCATCGCATGGGTATGATCACATACTCACGTGCACTGACCGTTTTACAAGATGGCCCGAAGCTATTCCCACCACGTCTATCACGGCGGAGACAGTTGCTCACCGCTTCGTAGAACGATGGATAGCATTGTACGGTTGTCCCTCGACTGTCACGACTGACCGAGGACAACAATTTGAGTCCGCATTATTCTCCTCACTGACCCGGCTGCTTGGTACGGAACGCATACGCACTACCGCCTACCATCCAACATCGAATGGTTTAGTCGAACGGTTTCATCGCCAACTTAAAAGTGCTCTTCGAGCACACGAAGACGACAATTGGTACGAAACCTTACCGCTCGTTCTCTTAGGCATCAGAACGAGTTTGAAGGCAGATATCCAATGTTCCGCCGCTGAACTTGTATACGGCACGACATTGCGTCTGCCTGGGGAATTCTTCACACCACGGAGCAGTAATGATTTTGGTAAATCAGACTACGTCCATAGACTGTCTGCATTTATGCGAACGCTGTCTCCGGTGTCAACTCGAATACAACATCGACAGGTCGCTCTCCCTCGAGAGTTATCTACCTGTTCACATGTTTTCATACGAGTAGATTCGGTACGCAAACCTCTACAACAGCCTTATGAAGGCCCTTTTCACGTGATCTCTCGTCACGAAAAGACCTTCAAGGTTGATCGACACGGCCGCGTCGAGATCTTCAGCATTGATCGTCTCAAACCAGCACACGTCGATGACAGTGCCCTACCCGATAACTTGAGACTCAATGTTAGACCTATCAAACGTTCTAGCGGGATCTCTACGTCTACCTCGGATCCCACGCTAGATACATCAGAGACCTCGTTCTCACGTCCCGGTCAACAGCACGCGTCATCTGCACCATCTACGGACGAGACTTCCGTCTCACGTCCAGATCGGCAGACCACGCCGCCCTTGATCTCGGATGAGATCGCAGGCTCACGAAGCACGAACGAGACTACCGTCTCACGTTCCGGTCGCCGAGTACGATTACCCGTACGCTTTCGCGACTAGCCGTACAGTCAATAACGGATACGGTGTAGGATTATTCCTATACTACACGCATGCTACACTTTTCTTTTTTTATTTTTTTGTGTCCTGAGCCCACGCCTCCGACCATCGCCCGTTCGGTAACGTCGACTTCAGCCAACTTTGGCAAAAGCTGGTTTGGCCACCCATGCTCTAGTCAACGCACTCAGTCGATTATCTGGTCTCGAATTCGCCTGGCATCCGCTTGGTCGTTATGGTCGCGTCCGATTTCTTGGCTCAACGTGGTTTCGTCCTACGTCCTCAGCGTTTCCTGGTTCGCATCCCTACGAACGCAATCATCAGATTCTGGATACAAACCACTCTGGTGTAGTATGCTAATTCGACCAACAAATACAGCACACTTCTGGTACCGTTCTGCGCAAAAGACCTTCGTTGGCAACTCGAGGATCAACGAACAATTCCTGTTTCGCCAATTTCCTCCGTCCTACAACCGCACTTCTGCCGATCAGTCCCACGAATCAAACCGCTAACTATCGAAAGTGTCAACCCTTTCTAGCGGGGCGCTCCTGTAGTGACCTACTTTTGTTAACAGAACGCGATTGGTTCAATGAAAACAATTATTATTATAACCAATTGTACCAGTGACTGTTTTACTGTGCTCGTTTGTTTAACTGTGCTAATAACAGCCAATATACTTACTCTCCTGTTGACTTTGAACTTGTACGAATTCGGTTACGCTCAGTAACCACGCTTGTACTCCTTTGGCACGATCTCGGTATTCTTTCGATACCACGAGATCGCCAACAAATACATCTCGACTACAGCAAACATCTGTCTTCTGATTTTTGGCCTACCGGAATCTTATTGGTCTATTGGCACGTAGTCTTGTAGCGGTGTTCATAGTCAAGCTCAACTCGACACCACGCTACAGATGTATCAAGGTACTATAGATGCTTTGAAGACTGTACAACACAGAAGACGTTATTACAGTGATATATTATTTAAAGTAGATACAAGCGAAAGTAAGACCACTGCCGCAAGGGCCAGTCCATGGCGTACGATTAATTGATGCGCATTGGTTGTCCTTGACCTCAACGAGGGTTGACGATTTGTTCGATATTCAATGGCCCAACTGCCGGATAATTTGGCTGGGGCTCAGTGGAATTTCACTGGCCCTACAACAGAAATAAATGTATGCAAAATATGAGTTGCTTGTTATTGTCACAAGGGTGGGTGTTATAAGTCCAATATATATCCATGATTATGATAATGTAGAAACAACAATTCCAAGCAATATCAGATATAGATCAAGACTTTCTTGTGAAAAACACAAAATAACTCACTATGGTCACTCACTCACTGTAAAATGAAGATTTTTCTGAGAAAAATATAATGCTTTATGACGAAAGATACTTAATACGTGGAACTATTGGGTACCTGAGAATAAGAAAATGCATTATTTACAAAAATGGTGTCAAAATTAGCCAACATAAGTGAAGTGTACTTGCGAAATCCCCCAGATAACTGAAGTGCATCAACAAGCAAAACTTCTATGCCGTGACTCTGTGCCCAGTCAAACCAGATCATATTGTCAACTGCCTTGCAGTGCACATTAACAAAGACACTACAGGCAAATCTTAACCAAATTCAGTGAACAAAAATTTAATCAAAGACTGGCAATCATCAGAATTCGGTCACGTGAGTCCTGGACAGAGTTAACATGAACGGAATAGAGAAGTAATATTCGAGGAAAAATATTAAGACTAGATAAATCACGGGAGGATTTTCAAAACACTCTTTAACATTAAGTACTTTGGCCTTTCTCTAGCATGATAAGTGGATCGTTTTTTCCTTGAAACCTGAGTATGGATGGTGGGAGAACCACTCAACAAGCCTTTTTCTGAGAGACTCTGAGAAATATGGTGTCACTTTCATCCCTGATAAGGAGCTTCAGAGTTTGGTTACACTTACTACGAAAATAGGAAACAACGAACGTGCTTACAAAAGTAGCATGCAGCAGAACAGCAAGGAAAATAAATTTTAAAAATTAAGGAAAGATATAGGGGTCAAAATGTTACGAGTGTTTTTAATCTTAACAGTAACACCGGTTTGTTGTTTGTTTGCTTCACTAGGTTTAGGGGCACTCACTACAAATATTTTATATGACGGCGGGATGGATGTAGGTGATTCCGTTTGTATTTGTCTTTGGTGTATATGATTTAATTATCGTATTAAGATTCTGCCTTACCTTCGAAAATAATATCATCATTAATCTTAGGGTGTCCCACTCATTCAAAGTCTCTTTTTATCATTATATGTTTGTAACCCCAATTATCAAAGTTGATTCATGATAAAGATTCAAATCTCAAGTTGCACTCTATGCACCACCAACACAGTTTTCTTGATCGTTATCAACTACCTCGTAGATCCAAAGTCAGTGATTGCTTCCTGATTCCTTTCTAACCAGTGCAACACATTTCCATGTTTTAGTGATGCTTATTTTAGACAACGTTAATTACGGTACTGTAAGACTCATTTTGTCGGTCGGTCTTGCTAGTCTTCGTTTAGCATCTTAGCTTGAATAATCTGAACTAGTCGTTCAGCTTGCTTACATAACCTTGCTCTCTTATGTCAACTTTCCAATCACTTGCATCAAAATTTAACATCTGGTGAAGTGTTATAGTATTATCTCGCCGTATATCATTGGGAGGTCTGATGTTGATGAAACTTACCACGTTTCGTCATGAAATCCCTCAAGGATCATTACTATTGTTGCGGTATCCACATATTGTGATTGAAAAACATGGTGGTCTTTCTGTGCATCTAGATACAATACTATTAATTAATCGTTCTTTAAATAATAGAGTAGTTAACCTCATGCACCAAATTTGTCCTCAGGTTTTTAGTTCCAATATAGTTTAGCTTGTTTCTCCATCTGGAAGTCACGAATTTTTGTGTTAAATTGCTTTTCTGTTCATTCCATTCTGATAGTCCACTTTTGTTCCACACACAGGTACATTACAAGACGTATGCTGGCAGAAGTAGCCGTGATATAAGGTTTGACCAGCTGCTTCACACAAAACCCTTATCTGGCTCTTCATCCACAGCATTCTCTAAATCAAGTGTTAGTTCCAGAAAAAGGGTCAACGTCGTTTCTTTTGTACCCACAGGTGAGGGGCAAGAATTAGTAACCAAATCTCCTGACAAAATCGTGTCAGAAAATTCAGATAGCTCTGTCTGTGTAGGTGCAGTGCAGGCAAATATATCTCAGTCATTTTTACCCCATTCCTCTACTGAAGGTGTTCCCACCGGTTCACCCATCCTGTCATATTCCAGTGCACATAAAGAATGTCCCAGTCGTCCATCAAATATTAACATGACAGGCAACAACTCTTTTGGTCATCCTTCTGACTGTACATTAGATATGCGCTCCGTTCGGAGTACAAATTGCAAGCCTGACCATTGTCGATCAGAAATTGCTTTAACTCCTTTGTCATCTCACACTCCTACTATACAACGCGTTTCATCCCCGAATTCCCACCGAAACATCACCAATTACCATAGTCATCCAGCATGTACTTCAAAACCTGCTAGTCAGCCAAAACTGCAAGGACTAGATAAAAGTCAAACCAGTTTAGTTGTTACTATACCAAACAGCTCCTTAAAAACACAGGCATTCGTTGACATCTCCAAGAATAGTCGTGAACGGAGTCTTCCTTACTCCTGCCCTGCTTTTACGTTAGAACCTGAAATTGCTTCAGATACCAGTGCTTCAAAATCGTTTTCACGACCAATTCTCAGCGGTAAAAATAAAAGAGTAAGTGGCACAATCCCTTTTTGGAATGTTTACATAATCGTGAAAATGGTTGTTTTCATCTTTAATCCATTTCAGTAAAAAAGCTATCATCTAATCCATCTTGTAGCATACTTTGCAATATATATATATATATATATATATATATATATATATATATATATATATATATATATATATATATATATATATATATATAGACGGGTCTGTTCACATCCACATTGTGTTTGTAACAATCAGTATTGCTACTTGGCCTAAGATTCACTAATTGCATTCCACTTACATTTGCTATTTTCTGTATGCAAATTGTATACCATTATGTATATGTCTAAACTTACGGCTGATGGATAATTGCTCCGAATATTTAACCGCCTCTAAAAGCATGCGTCGCTACACAAAATGGATGTATAATTTCAAGCATTGTTCCACAAATCTTGACATAGTACACTTTTTTTAACGTCATTGTATTTTAAAAAGTTCGTGTTGGCAGGATCAACTATCATTTAAAGTTCTAACTTACAAACCCGAGTTTTGCTAAATCTTAATGAAGTAGGTGGGCCGGGGTTCAAACTCGGGACTTGGTAGTTGAGAATCGAACCCCCTAACTACTGAACCACTGCCTATCAAAACCGTGGTTTCTGACTGGCGGAACAAGGTTAAGAGTGGTCAAACCAATATAAACTTACAAGTCCATGAAATTACAATATTGTTGTTCTAGGTTTTGTCAGTGTCCATTCAAAGTCACATGAATGATATAGTCAGTAATTTGGAAATATGTTATACAGTTTGATATTAATGATAAGGACAAATGTATTCATTCTTTACCTTTCGAAACTTCTCTCACCTCTATTTATGTGCTATCTTTTTGCCTTGTCTTATTTTTTCCTGTCACAAAGTATTTTAGCTTGAGCTGATGTAGTTTGGCTGAAGATTGTATCAATCTATCCATTTGTTTAGGACATATAGTCCCTTTTTCATGACAGTGTAGGACGTGAATCCAAATCACCACGTTTCACATCACAAAATGAAATTAACAAGATTATAATCAAAGATATTAAAATATTAGTGGATGTGGAAAACGACCTATGAAATGTACCGAAAGGGTTCCGAGTGTTGTTATAGAATGACGAATAAATCCAGGTATTTAAATGTATAATAATAATACACTAGGACTTCGACAACTAGATATGCATCACTCCCGTGTTATAGGTAGCGCAAGTTTGTAAAAATCAAGCGAGCTTTTTGAATATGTTCTGATTTTTCTTTAGACATCAATCCAACTGGTTTGGTTAGACTCTCGATATATACGGCCTCGATCACTTCTAAATGTTGATCAAGGATATGTCCACATGGTTAGGGGAATGAACTATGACTGTGACCAAAATATCGACCGAATTAGTAAACATTAACTAGTATAACCAGTAACTACTGGATGTAAGCTATAATCCAGTGGTCCAAGTACCTGACATCCCACTATTAGACCATGGGTTTGAACTTTACTTCACTAAATTTGATTTCGACATCCAAACAGCCTTGCTAAGTAACTTCCGTAGCTAACTTCAGCGTTCCAGTAAGTAATCACCATGAAGAGGATCACTACGATTAGGTAATAGTAATCCTGTTAAATATTTTCCATGGAAAAAAAATTCCAAGCTGTAAGTACCACATATATAGTATGTTCCTCCTGCAAAACTATTAATTTTTCTTAATTCATCATAACAACTTGTGATGATGTATGCTTTTACTAGATCCTGCATTGATCATGATTAACTGGCTGACCATGCCAATGTGAAGTGCGATGATCTCAGCCGATATACTTTTGTATCGTCTTAAATTATGTAAATTTATAATATAGGTGTAACTACGCACAGTTTCTGCAAGAACTAAATTCGTATCGTATTTAGAATTATTTATATTTAGCATACATCCAATGAAATTTTGTTAACGATTGAATACAATTTTAAAACCTGTGTTATTTTTAACTTTATTTTATCAGGCAGCCTACAATCCACGTTCTTGGCAGAAAGAAATTGAAACAGATGATAGTTCTCCGACGAAGCTGGTAGGTTTCATTTCCGCCGATTAAAATTTGTTTGCATACTTATGTAAGACCAATGTTTATGAATATGACATTCCGAATTGTTTGAGGTGTTTGACTTCAAATGATAAGTGCTGGAATGAAGAACGAACAAACAGGCAGGCAGCCAGCCTTGATTACTATGAGTCATATAAAAGGTGCATCATTGAGTCAATGGTTTTGGGAAAGCAAAACTCCTTTAGAAGAAATAATTGATAATATCAGTCTCTAGTAATAAGGATATTAGGTTATCTAACCTGTATCAATCCTTTCAGCTCGTTTTCCACTGACGATCCAGCTCGTTAAAATTGCTGATTGATAGGACTAATACCACTTGTTCGGGTAGTGCGTTCTGGTTACTGAACACTAGATGAGAAAAACGGAATCTCATTCTAAGTTTATTTGATTCCGGTTTTTGGACGTTCTTGCTGTAGCCTCGTGAATGATTAGGTCTAGAGAGAGCGAAAAGATAAAACGTTAACATCTAAGTCATTATTTAAGATACCCGATGCCAATATAAGCTCATCTCACATCTTACAATAGGATAAGGGAAAAAGGTTTAAGCGCCCATCGTAAAGAAGTTTAGAAAAACTCTTAACTAATTTGGTTCCCACATGTTGAAGACTCTTGAGTGTGTTGATATCCCCAGTAATCATATGGACTAGCTGCTTGGATGCAGTACTGTGAAGTCTCAAGTGAGCTACAAAACCTGAAATATGTCAATGCATTTGAATACTCAGTGAGGTGATCCTGACATTCGAAGACTTTTGGTAGCTTCTGGGTTGCATTGCTCACTTGTGACTTGATATTTTGAAAATCGTGTTCAAGGCTGTCATTTGTGTTGCTATCGTTCGCTTCCCACTAATTAATGGAAGCTTTTTTCGAGTGTCCTTTTTGTTTTGACTCAAACCAATCCATTCATTCATACTATCTAATTTGTCTGGTAAGTTTCGCTCTCCTCACATTGCACAGTTGCATTCACATCATCAGGAGTGTTTAGAGTATGTTCACTTTCTTTATGTGGTAATTTCTTTCTCTTATTAATCAAAGAGTTATTACGTTTACTTTGAATAATAGTTTGGACAGGGTTTCTATTTTCTTTGAAATGGAAGCCTCAGCTTTCCGATCAAAGGTATGAACTGAGCTGACAGAACTAGCTATTACACTCGTAATTTCTGCGTGTAATGTCGGAATCACTGATCAAGTATCATCACTTGGCACCTTGTCTATCAGAGTGAGATGTTCCGAGGCTTCATTTAGGAGAATCGATTCAGTCATACAGCATTCTTTACACAACCAGAGTGTGTGCGGCCGGTGATAGATTGATGTACATTTTGTGGAACCATCTCTTACAGCTGTCACACTGCATGTCATCAACAGGAAAGAAACAATGTCGGATCACATCAATGACTTTGAATGATCATTTTAACTAAAAGAAGGAAATCATCTCACGGGACTGCATTTCTTCACGATGCTCCACTGCTTGTGGGTTAGACGTTCAGGTCGAAGGCTCGGGGTGTGGCCCCCTAAGAAAACCACCTGCTTCGGTTTGGGCACCCGGGCAGTATCACAGCCCTCACACAAATCAATTGAGATTCGTGTGGCGCATATGTACTTGGTGCCTCCTTGTACCTATACCTATGTGTTAAAATAAATAAATAAAAGAAGGAAAAGTTTTTTAAAAATATATGATCGCAAAAAGTGAAGAAATAACGTTACTACGGTAACTACAAAATTATGTAAAAACGGTAACTAACTAGTGTTAGTTAAAGCAACAAAATGTTAAAATGATAATCAAACCTAACTCTAAGATAAAAAAAAAACGGGGAAGCGTTAAACATGAATACACAGATGCTCATCAATAAAAAAACTTTAATTAATATAAATTAAAGTAGAAAGCATGTGAGAAAGTATTTCACAAACTCAAATATCATTAAAAGAGTTTAAATCTAGGCTATAATACAATAAATGTAACAGAGATCTAGTATTTCAAAAATAAAGTATGAAAATTCACTTCCTTTTCTCAAATCGCGCATATTCACCTAAGTTCGTAATAGGTGTCATGTTCACCTTGTGGTAGTCCTATGTAAATTGTATTTTTGCAAAAAATGATCCCTTGTAACACTTTCATAATAATTCCAAAAAAAAAACACCATTTTATTCTTCTAAAGCGGTAATAATGGAACAGTATGCTTACTATATATGATTTTTCTTTATCAACGGTATGGTTTGTGTAAATTCTATATTGTTTTGTTTTTGCTTCTTAGCAAAAAGTCAATGAATCCTCTCCGTGTTCTCAAAATCAAAGTCAATCATCAACTTCAGTTGAATCCCATCACTTTTCTACTAAAGATACTTCAACTTTAATCAACCAAGAAAACGACTGTAGCATGAAAATTCATAAAAATAATGTTGACAATTTTGCATTTGATGAATATGAAGAAGAAATGAAGAATAATTTTGATGCATTACATCCATACAAATATTCAATCAATGATAATCATTCTGTAAAATATTGTGATAAACTAAGTGAAGAAGATGAAGACCTAGAAGATGATGTTAAACCTTGGTTCCGTCCTGCTTCTCGTGATGTATCTAATAAAAAACTATCCAACAGTACAAAGAATATAAAAGTTAGTCGAACAGATAAACCTGTAAGTATTCTTTTCTGGAATAAATATTATCAAAAATTAATCTCATTTTTTCTGTGTATTGTTTTAATGTTGATTCACTTATATGATAAACTTTATGTGGTAATCCCTTTTATTGTAGGTGAGTACTTATATGTAACTCGACCACCAATACCAGTAAGCTGTACTAATTAAGATCAACCCAAAATGATATGTCTAAGATATAGTGATTCATAAAATAACGCTACAAATAACCACCGGATCTGATTACTTCATATCATTTATTGCTGTTCAAAACCAGTTTTCTAGTTTATTTATTCAGTATACATAAAACCAAGTCGTTCTATGAATAGTTTCGGCTAGTCCCTATTCACACATAGAAATGATAGTTCAATAGCTTTCAACTTTTAGCCAATTAGTCACATGTTTGAACCTCACTTTACCTTCTTCGGTTTGGCCAACTAAAAATTATTACTAGCCCTTATATTTAAAGGGATCAAAGCCATGTAAATGAATTGGTACCTGGTTAGTGAGTTAATAATAACTTAATGTTCTATTCACTTGATAGTTGGTTAACAGTGATATGAAGTATATCAACTATTTAATGATGCATAACCATAATGTTACAAAACATTAAACATGCAGCAAATTTTTGTTTATGTAAGTATCTCAGTGTACATTATAACGAAATTTGTTTATGTCCAGAGTAAAACTTTGTTCATTTATCAAACGTTATAATAAAAATGTAATTAGTTTTCTTTTTAATATTGATTAAAATACTTCAATACTTTTGTTTTTATACTTATATTTATTTTATAGTTGTATACTGTACTACACAAGGTGAAAGAAGCACATGTTTGCCAAGAACAAGGTGAAACTCAGCATTTATTAGATGATGTAGAATATTTAGTAGATGGTCTAACAGATCGTAATCAAGTTAATACTCGTGCACTTAGGTTAGTTATTTATTATTTCTGTTTGTATATAATATAATCACAATTGATTGATCACTGCGTGGTGATCAATGTCATGTGTGTCAAGTCCTTCTTAGTGCAGATCGAATTCGGTCGACCAAGTTGCAATGTAGTCACTAGTCTAGGTGACTCAATATTACGTGCACTATGATAAGATGGTGGTTGGAGGTAGTCAACAGGAAACCCTCGACCCGAGTTTCGTGCTACTTGGCACTCGTCAGCAAGGTGTACCTATTATCTTGAGGGAACTGGCGCTCCTTGATAGATTCGATCCCGTGTCACCCAGCTTCACAGTCAGAGATGTTACCACTGGGCTATCCGGGCCGCGATCGACCTGCAGGACTGAGATGTAATCACAATTGAAGTCATTTATAATGTTTACAACGTTTTAATGTCATAGTCTATGAGATGAGTTCGACTGTTTTATACATTTTCATCGATAGTATATTTTTAATAGTTATGGATATTCATGTACTGGACAATCATTGGAATCTATTTTTCTGAATTTTGTTGTATCTTGAAACTATTGATTCAACTAATTTCGTTTTTACATTAACCAGGTTTACTACAAACTCTGGTAATATTTCAAATTGAGCGATTTCTTTTATTACGTTATATACATTCTACTTTATAATACCTATTAAACATTATACTTCACTTATATTTATTTATTTGAACACATAAACATTGGTACAAGGGGGCACCAAATACGTATGCGCCATATAGTAACAATGAAGTCAGTAGCTGTTATGATTGATTTGTGTGAGGGTTGTGATGTCGCCTGGGTGCCCAAACCTAAGCATGTGGTTTTCTTAGTGGACCACACCCCGAAACTTTGACCTACAGATCTAATCCACAAGACAGTAGAGCAACGTTAGGAGATGCAGTCTCATGGTCGCCTGTGACTAACAATAAATTCACATGCCATTTGTTCCCTTAGGATCCTGGAACCCATGTGCACCATTGGTTTAGGATGAGGGTTTTGCAACACCCTTAGATGGATCCTCCATATCCACCAACCGGGTTAGAGCGCCGGACATTCGCTTTTCGTCGTCTCAATTTTGTGAACAACACTCCGTCTTGACGAGAAGGCATTGAGTAAGACTTCCCTTGGAGTGACTGTATACGCGTGGCCATGTGGAAGTATTTCGAGAGGGAGAGCTGACTCTCACCACTCTCGGCCGTACCAGGGCATTTAAGGGCACTTCACTTGAATCTTTCTAAATCAGAACAAGATATAAGACTGTTTGTGTTATGCTAAACCTTTGAATAAGTGGGAATTTTCGAAAATACCACCAAATAACAGTGCATAAAAACTTTTCTGTAAAAGCGGAATTTTTAAGTATATGACGAATAGGAATTAAATTCCAATTACCACTTTTTAAGTCTATATTTTCGTTTTTGATCAATCTCTGTTGGCATATTCATATCCTGTATTTACAATAGTTACAGTGGTTTAAGTTTTAGCTTTGACGACTGGAATACAGGTGTATCCAGCTGAACTGTTTCAAATAGGGCTAAACATGAATTCTGGGTTCTACCCCTAACTACATTCTAATAAATTCCAATTATTTAGACATTTATGTACCTGACATTGCGCCTATTATTTTTACATCATTTTCGTTGCGTTAAATGTCGTTATTTAAAGTGTTTTTCGTTATAATAGGTTTATGTGGATAAAAATTCATTGTTATTATTTTGTGAATAAATTCCCGCTAAGTTCTATGAAGCTTACTTTGACTATATATATATATATATATATATATATATATATATATATATATATATATATATACTGAAAACGAAGTATTCAAAACTACCTGAATGTTACAATCACAGTTTTTGCTATGTGGTTATTTGTGGGAATGGCTCCCGGTGAACTCAAGGAACCTCTAAGTAGCTCTGAAAGAATTGATGACACCCGGTCATCGTTTGAAAGGACATCCCAGGATCTAGACGTGTAGCTCACGATTAGACAAATGATAAAAACCACTGTATGCGGATTGGATTATTGTAATGACGATTTCGTTTTTACTAATGTTACAAATACCCAAGTGCCTTGTACTGTATTGCACTAGTTGGAATAAAATTTCTTTCCACTTGTTTTCCGTCTTCTAACTTGCGACTTGAAGGATTCAAATGTCCAAATACCAATAATTCAAGTTCTGGATATAACAATATTGTCTTCTATTTGTCCATGTGTTCAAGTGGTTGCCTACTTAAATGTTTACATATCCCCAACGACTGTTCGTAGTTTCTTGTGATTTATTGATTAGAAATTAATAATGGTCGTTTTGCTTCATATGTTATTTTTGTTTTTTTTTTTATTTTTTTCACAATATAAGCGTCCTGACTCTAGCTAACAAATGTTTGACTGCATCCTTCCGTTATACTCTCAATGCTCATGGTTTATTGAAGCGAATTTGTGCGAAACTTCATGACGCTTACACAGACTATGTAAGTATAGTTTTATGTTTAAAAAATATATTCTTAAAAGTTCTATTTTGATTATGGTATATTTGTTTTGAAATACAAGTATATACCCAATGTCACCTACAATCAATGAATTAAGCACATTTGAACAAGCATGAATAGGTTGTAAGCTTTTTAGTTTAAATACCTATACGACACATTTTCGTCCTTTCAATTTCAACCACATGTATATATCAGTATTCCATTTTATGTACCTTTAGAGAATAAATTGTAAACATAGCCTTCACCGATCATTTATTTTATTTACCGTTATCATAGAACTCATTTATTAAACATTCTTTCCAACTGTTAATCGTACTGCATAACCCAAACCACGAAGAACTATGTTGCCAGTTTCAGATAGGGTAATTATTTATTGTCTGTTTCGTGTTAACGATTTTATTGTAACCATTTGTCAACCTAAAATGAAATTAACATCTAATTAATTCAAGTTTGTGAAACCACTGAAACAGATGGTTGATATTTCAGTCTATTTATTTATTTGAACACATAAAGATTGGTACAAAAGGGTACCGAATACATATGCTCCACATAAGTCACTTGATTTGTGTGAGGGTTGTGATACTACTCGCGTGCCCAAAGCACGTGGTTTTCTTAGGGGGCCACACCCAGAGACTTTGACCTAACAGGTCTAATCCACAAGAGCTGCAGTGCCATGGTAGTCGGTGACCAACAATAGGTTCATACGCCATTCACTCCCTCATAATCCTGGAGTCCATGTGCACTACTGGTTTGGGATCCGGTTAAAGCACCGGATATTCGGTTTTCGTCCTCCCATTTTCGTTGACAACACCCCCGCCACGAGAAGGCAGTGAGTAGGACTTCCGTGACAGAGGCTGTATACGCGTGGCCATGTGAGAGTATTTCGAGAGGGAGAGCTGACTCTCCTCACTCTCGGCCATACCAGGGCATTCGATAATATTGATCGTTTAAAAGAGATTAAATACTATATTCACTAATCTAGAAGAATAAACTATACTGCACAATTATACTTTCAGGAACTACGACTTGATTTAATGTGATATAATTAACTTTTTCCATCGTTAAAATGTTACTTCATTCTAGGTGCTATCACTCTCACTTGAGAATAATTACGAAATTATTTACAATTAATAATGGCTTGTTAATTTGGTTCTGGCATTTCTACTCTGATTATCGGGTTCTCAAGAATTTGAAAATTACCAATGTGTTCTATAGTTTGTTTCTCTTAGCTTCCTTATTTCATAACTACCTAAAACGAAAGTTTGAGGATGGTAATTAATTTCAATGTCATGATGTTTTATACTCCATACTGTTATATCTTGAGTATCCGCTGACCAATATAACATGTCAGGTCACTAATCAGAGTGCTGATTCTAATTTTCTTATTTTGCGTCTATTATTTACTGTACATCTCGATTTACACGCTCGACCAGCACTATTGATTTTGAACCGACAGCTAAGTCCCTATTGGCCACTATTATCCAGCTCCTCACCATCCCTTGCCTTGAGTCCCGAAGTAACAACTAGCCTCTACTATATTTATACTGCAAACAGATGTGGTTTATGTACAGGCATATCAGACGTCACCACAATATACATGAACAAGCCAAAGTGGCTGTGAATAGTTGCTCAATGATTATACAAGGTTTGCAATAGACGTTTCATCATAACACATACTACTCCTACCATTACTGTAAATCTTATTCCAAGTAAATAGTACTTGTTTCAAGACCTCTTTATGCCTTCTATTATGACCTAATTATACATTCATTTACACCAGAAACCATACAAACAATACTCAATATAAAATTCGATTGTTTTTTTTAAATAAGTTATCAGCAGATTATGATTACATTTTTATATTGACTTTCATTGAAACTTCTTTTCATTTCAGGCACTGGCACTTACCTCTGCTGGATTGTTGTTTGTTTTATCACGAGATCGTGACCCGAATATATTAGATGTTGACTCCTTGGCTATTATATTGAAATTATTCTCTGCACCCGATAGTAAGTTGCACGTATTAGTAAAAATGTTAAAATTATTATGTGTTATTTCATAATGTTTCAAGCTAATTTGTACTTAAACTATGGTAACAGTGCTTACTTACATACTCAGATGTTTATTCAATGTATGAACTAGTCCCCAAATGCCATGCTACAGTTGAAATTACGGAGAGTCAGCTCTCGAAATACTCTCACATGGCCACACGTATACAACCACTACCAGGGAAGTCCTACTCACTGCCTTCTCGCGACCACGGGGTGTTGTCCACAAAACTGAGACGACGAAAACCGAATATCCAGCGCCTAAACCGGGTTTTTGTGGATATGGAGAATCCATCCAGGGGAGTTCAAAAACCCTCATTCCAAACCAATGGTGCACATGGACTCAAGGATCCTAAGAAAACAAATGGCATATAAACCAATTGTGAGCCACCGGCGACCATGAGACTAGTTCTTAACATTGCATCTGCTTCGGTTTGAGAACCCGGATAGTATTCCAGCCCTCACATAAATCGAATATGTATTTGGTGCCCCCTTGTACCAATGTTTACATGTTTAGATAATAATAATAGTGATACTATCCTTCTCCTTAACCCATCAGGAGTTTAAGTTTTAAACACAACCTAACACTAATGATAGCTAATTGCTTTGTTATTAAACTATCACTCCACTCTAAATAAAATTCAACACTCATGATTTCTAGTTATGTAGTTAGAGTTTGTGGATTAGGCTTTTGGTCTCACTAAATGATGGCGTATTATTTAATTTGATTGTGTAACTGATTAATAATTATTTAAGTGTTGTAGTATTTTTCTTGTCTTCTTACGATACTTTTTTTGTATGTAAACTAGGAATGAACTGTAGAATCTTACGAATAAACTGACCTAAAATCTCAATCGTTTCTTTTCGTTTTGATTTCACGTTTATAAAGTGTTCACCAGTTTGAAAACTTTAAAGTATTCTGATGTTTGATGTGTTTCTTTCTCCAGCCAATACAAATGGCAGTACTGGTGGTGGTCATTGTGAAATCAGTAAAAATAAAGAAGCTGAACGTGTACGTATGCGTGTTCGTCAACTACTCGACGGTTTACATCAAAATAATTCCAAGAGTTTAACACCAATATCTTCAACTTGCCCAGATGTTGTTGTAGGTAACAATTCAAACACGATAGCTTCTTCCAATCAATCACTATTCTCTAGTGGAAAGCGTTCAATCCTTCCACCTGGATCTAAAACACCTACAAATTCAAGTTTAAACACTCGACATTTACAGATTACCCGTCAGTTGACAGTAAGTATTTAATAAATTTGTTTCTATTTTGACATATGTGCAGTTCAGAACTGGTAAAGGTAATAAGTTTAACAAATAGAGTTTAGTTATGTACATTAGAAGCTCCATATAATTGAATGTTTCGCTTAAGCGTAATAGTTATGTGATTCTTTATGTGTATGAACTTATAATCAAGTTAGGTAACCAACTACTCAGTTACATGTACAGTTAAATAAAATGACAAACCCAATCACCAGTCATTAATTTATGGCTAACTTCAGTTTCATTTATTACATGGTCACCATCGCTTGCCATTTTCATACTTTAAGGCTTTACTATTCAAAGAGTAATTTTTTTAAATATCAGTATCCGTTACAATTTTTATGATCTCGTTCGTACTATCTACATGTTTGTTACAATAAAATTTTCAGACCTCAGATTTAGTTATTGAATCTATTTTAAACTTTGGCACTCGGAAAGCAGGAGATTGGTTCAAAGTAGAACTTCGTAATGGTGGTGGATTAGATAAAGTTGCTGATGCAACTTCAGACGCTGTTGATTATTTGGCAGATTTAGATCCAAACAATACATCTCGTAAACCAACAACTGTTTGGCGTTCTAGGACTAACTTAACAGGAATTGATAACTTCGCTTTGGATAGACTTAAACGAGTTTGCCATTATACTCGATTGTTAGAAAATGTAAGTTTTTATCTGTTTGATTTCGTGTATATGTGAGAATTGTGAACATTTATTTTTCGTTTTCATTAAAGTATTTCTAACACATCATTTGTATAAATTGTTAATAAATCTATTTTAATATCGTGCAATATAAAGTAAATTTGCCTGTATATTACAAACACTTATTTATTTGAACACATAAATATTGGTACAAGGAGGCATCAAATACATATGCGCCACACAAATCTCATTTGATATGTGTGAGGGCTGTGATACTGCCCGAGTGCCCAGACCGAAGCAAATGGTTTCTTAGGGGGACCACACCCGGGACTTTAGGCCTAAAGGTTTGATCCATAAGGCAGTGAAGCAACGTCAGGAGATGCAGTCCCATGGTAGCCGGTGACCAACGATTTGTTCATACGCCATTTGTTTTCTTAGGATCCTGGAGTCCATGTGTATCATTGGTTTGGAATGGGGTTTTTTTAACTCCCCTAGATAGATCCTCCATATCCACCAACCCGGTTAAGGCGCTGGACATTCGCTTTTCGTCGTCTCAATTTTGTGAACAACACCCCGTCTTCACGAGAAGATAGTGAGTAGGACTTCCCTGATAGTGACTGTATATGCGTGACCATGTTGAGAGCATTTGGAGAGGTAGAGCCGACTTTCCACACCCTCAGTCATACTAGGACATTTGACATAAAATTGTGTCTCAATAGTTTAACAACTAAAGTTCCAATCAATGAACCCTTACTTCGTATTCAAATACATGTATTTCTGTTTGAGCTACCGTGTACTGTTCTTGAGACCTCTCACATTAAATGTGTCTCAGTTCTTGGTGAGCGAACCTGAATAACTGTGTTGTAGAATTATTTTTGTAATGTGTCCAATTTGGACTAAAAAATGTTTTACAATTAAATATAAATAACCTCATATGTAAGTTTTTGTCTTTGTAAGTTAGTGAATCCTGACAGACTGAGTCAGTCGGAACATATATTACGTATATCCAACAATCGTCTACCTCGATGGGTGATGTTATCTAGTGTAGCAGTAGGCTGTAAGAAAGCTAGGGGCTGTCAAACTAAAACATGGCATCAGTTCATAAAGTCATTGGTAATTGGACTAAGCCATGTTATTAGGTGCAGAATACCTGGTTCAGGTTCTCTTGATCACCATAACTAATGATTAGAAACTTAGAATGACATTGCTTAGATGTATTCACTCTTTGTTTTAAAATTTTTGGATTCCTCGTGGGTTTTTCCTTCGTTATTTCATTAATGTATATTTTTTGTATCTAATCTTTTCTATTACTACCAATACTGTGACGGTGTGCACTACTATGGTATCCAACATAGGAATTTCATTTCTCTGTATGTTAACTTGAACTAATATACAGATGTTCTAGTTTCTACGTTGTGTTTGATTGATTATTGAAAGAAAGCTTCAAAATTTCTTGGTTATATAATTTTACAACCATCGAAACTGCATTGATATTTAAATGTTGAAAATTATCATAAACCATTCTTCTTCTTTTTGTTTTTTTTTTTTGGTTGATTTCCTAATAGATTAATTGTAAATGTATTTGCATATTATTTGATCATTTTATGATAATAAGTTGTTTGTATGTGATTTATTCACAATAATGTAGTGTACCACCATCCTAATGTAAAACTTTTAATGTTAGTTATAAAAATGATATTCTTTATGAAATTCTTTTAACTGTTTATTGAATTCTAAGGTTCAATATAGATCATTTTATGAGTTCATATTCATAGTTACACAAACGAAATCATTATCACATGTTTAACATGGTAAATTGTCAGCTAAATGTATATACAATGTAACTTGAGTATAGATTTAGTACATTTGATTATTATTTTTATTTTATCCCTTGAATTTATTTCTTTTTATATTTAGATGACTTATATGAATTCAGATAATCAAACATATTTGGTACATTATCGTGATGGAATACTTGTTAAACGTTTATTGACCTGTTTACGAGTTTGTGTATCTCATTTACCGAAATCATCAACTCAACAATCAAATTCTAATTCTACTACTACTACTACTATTAATAATAATAATAATAATAATAATAATAATGTTTCTATGGAAAAATCTACTGTAAATAGTATCAGTGTTTTGTCAAATTCAAATAATTCTGCATATGATAGTCAAACTATATTAACTGATTGCATTTTAGGTATATTTCGATTTTTGGTTAATGTTTCACATAATGGTAAGTTAAATATATCATATTGTCAATTCAAATTGCTTGTTATTAATTACTTTTCTCTTATTGATATTAAATGTGAGCATATTTTATCGATAGAGTAGTCAATCAATCAGTCAGTAACAACATAGAACTTCCCATGTACGTACATTAGTTCGAGTTGCCATGCCACATTAGATTGATAGAGTAGAGTATACAGTGAGTTTCATATAGTCTTCGGTCTTGTCCAATATCATACTGATCCGTATATATATATATATATATATATATATATATATATTTGTGTCAAACTCTTTGTTGATTATGACTGACTAGACTGTATATCAGATATGTATTGGAAAATTTCACGGAAATATTTTAAAATAACTTTCTATTATATATCCTCTTTAAATTATTTATTTATTTATTTTAACACATAAGTATAGGTACAGGAAGGCACCAAATACATATGCGCCACACAAATCTCAATTGATTTGTGTGAGGGCTGTGATACTGCTGGGGTGCCCAAACCGAAGCAGGTGGTTTTCTTAGGGGGCCACACCCCGAGCCTTCGACCTGAACGTCTGACCCGCAAGGCAGTGGAGCATCGTAAGGAGATGCAGTCCCATGGTAGCCGGTTACCAACGATTGGTTCATACGCCATTTGTTCCCGCAGGATACTGTAGCCCATGTGCACCATTGGTTTGGGATCCGGTTAAAGCGCCAGACATTCGCTTTTCGTCCTCTCATTTTTGTAAACAACACCCCCGCCACTTGAAGGCAGTGAGTAGGACTTCCCTGGCAGAGGCTATATACGCATGGCCACGTGAGAGCATTTCGAGAGGGAGAGCGGACTCTCCCCACTCTCGGCCGTACCAGGGCATTTGGGGGCATCCTCTTTAAATAGACTTATCATTATTTATCACCATGAATAATTGTAAAATATTAAGCATTTTTGAACTTCTGTTAACTATGATATACCATTCAAGGTATGCCTTCATAATCCTCTTTTCAGTATTAGTAACTTCTTGCACAAATTTATGACGTCATTGACAAGTGAATTGAGCCATGTTGATAGATGTAAAGTACCTGGTTGGGATCCGCGAAACGATAGCAATCGATAGTTAGAGACCTTGAATGACATGACTCAGAATAGTTTGCAATGGTTCAGATGCATCTGCTCTTTGCGTTCTCCCAAATTCTAATCTTTTGAATTCTTCATCTCCTTTTTTTCTCTTTCCAAATTTATTTCACTGGATTATACTCTTTGAATAACATCTTCAGACTCTAACCTTTTCGATTACTACTTATACTTTTACTACCTTTACCACTATTGAATTTGAGTCGATAATTGTATCTGTGTCCTAATGTGATATGGCAACTCAAATTGATGTATGTACGTACGAAGTTCTACGTTGTTACTGACTGACAGTCGATTTTGGGTCAGCTGATTAAAATTTAAGTAGTTGTTTAATTCCATTTTTACCATGCGATCCCTTCTGATGTATGTAGTTAAGATTTTTCGTATTTTAAAAAAAAAACTTATTTTATATATTCTAATGGAAATTTTAAACCTTCATGGAATTAACTAATTTAAAATACATTATGGTTGTTGAATGTTATTGTCTGATATTTCCATGACTTATCCTTCTTTTTTATTTTCATAGAATTCGCCAGTGAACGTCTTGGTGCTTGTTCAGGTTTTCTAGAAACTATTTTTGATTGCCTACTCAAGTTACCTGATCGTTTGCCTGGAACAAAAAGATTTGATGTAATTGTCTTAGTGCTCTGTCTTTTGGTAAATATGTGTGAACATTGTCCTGAAAATCGTACCCGAATTGTATATTTGGATATTACAAAATCATGTCTTAAACAAGGCTCTTCAACAAATTTGAAAGATGTTAAATATATCGATACATACGATGATGAAGAGGAAGATGATGATGATGACGTAAATGCAAATACAAATACTTCACGACAAGTTGTAACCACTTCTGCACTTGACGAACTCATACAAGTGAGTAATAAGTCTTTTTTGTTGAAGGCTTAGATCGATCGTATTTTTGACACTAACTTATTTACATTTATTGATCACTAGGCACATGTGCACATTGAAAGAGAAATTCAACCAAAACATTACTATTGTTAAGTGACATACGATCAAGAATTGTGCCTGCTTACCCGTCGTATGATGTTTTTTTTATTATAATTTATCTAGATAGGTGACCATTAACTCCCTATAATCATTCACAATTTTAAAACCTCTCATTGTATTGTTTAATGTACAGATTTCATCGTTCATTATGTAATCTAAACAACTAAACTCATTCAATTCACCCTGTGGATTTAACCATACCGGACAGATTGAAAGATAATTTTATTAACAAGTTAACAGGGATCTCTTATCATAGCTTGGAAAGGGTCAAATAGAATCAACACGCAACTCCGTGTTTTCATACTTGACAATGTTGTAGATATAAAATTAGCGTATTCAACGTCACTTATGTAGTTCTTCCTAATTTCCCAATGGGTTTTGAATTTATCTTCTACACATTGTGTACACTACGGAAATACGATTTGTAAATCATAGTTCTTGTATTTAGAATGAATTCATCATGTCACAATCATTTATTAGTATTTGATTGAGACCATGAACCGATTAGTGTTATACCACCGTTGGGAACCTGGAAGCACTGGATGGCCGTTCCGTCCTATTCTGGGACTCCTCGGCAATCCGAATCCACGGTCCCACCCGCAAGATTCGAACCCAGGGCCTTCAGTCTCGCGCGTGAACGCTCAACCTACTGGATCACTGAGCCGGCATCAACCAATCTACGAAATTGCGCGACTGTCTTCCATTATACTGAGGTAGATGCTTGTCTCTACTCGACATGAATTAGCTCGACTGGTCACGGTTTCTCACTAGAACTCCGAGAATTCTCTCACGAAGCTAGTCACTATTGGTAAATTGTTTTCACTGAATTTTCTTTTACTTCATGTTCTGTTTTTTTTATTTTTTCTTTATCTCTTTCAAATTTCCACTTCACCACCTTGATTATATCACACACTTTGCTCCTTAGTTTTATTTCATTATTAATGACTATTATTTAGACGGGTTACCTTTTTGTTTATTTTACGTTATCATTCTGTCTTAATTATTCTTAACTTTGTTTTGTTTATTTATTGAAACACATAAACATTGATACAAGGAAGCACTAAACACATATGTGCCACACTTTGTCATTCGATTTTTGTGAAGGTTGGAATACTATCTGGGTGCTCAAACCGAAACAGGTGGTTTTCTTAGGGGGCCACACCTGCACTTTTTGACCTAAAGGTTTGATCCACATGGCAGTGGAGCACCGTCAGGAGATGCAGTCCCATGGTAGCTGATGACAAACAATAGGTTCATACGCCATATTCTCCCTCATAATTCTGGAGTCCATGTGAACCATTGGTTTGGAATGAGGTTTTTCCGACTACCCTAGATGTATCCTCCATATCCACCAACCCGGTTAAGGCGTTGGATATTCGTTTTTCGTCGTCTCAATTTTGTGAACAACGTACTCTGTTCTGGGCTCTGTTTTCAAATTGTTTCCGATTACTAATTATTATTTTGATATGTGCCTCCGATCCTCCGCACAATGTATTCATCGGTCTACCTCTTTTCCTTTCGAGTTAAAGCCTACCTTGTTATTCATTTTCGCAATTTCCGTAAAATATGACATTTTTACCTCCACCATCTTTTCTTTATTCCTTCAACTGTAAGCTGATTTGTTCTCCACCACATTAGATTGTTATTTATGGTGTCCGGACAACCGATTTGAAGTATCTTTCGTAGACATCTGTTTATAAATGTGTATACCTTTTTGATGATGAGTTGAATTGTCATTATTGTTATTTATTTGTCAAATATCTATCCTACTTGTACATTCTTCTCCATTGTAGCTATTTCTTACTCGAGAAGAATGCGCACGTAACCATGATTTCGAGAGAGATGATGATGAAGCTATGGCAGCTGCAGCGGCCCGTAAACGTTCTGAGGAATTAGAAGATTTTGAAAATAATTCTAAACAATTACGCCCAGGTTACCCTAACCCTACTGTCGAAGAAGCTGGCTTGAAGTGGCGTTTAATAGAGGATCGAAGAGCAATGAATCTGAATAATAGAGGATTTTTAGGTAATTGTCAGTTACTTCCTTGTAGTTTAGCAATAAATATTAGTATCCTGTTCATGATTTTAGACCCTTAAAACCATGAATCCATTCCTTTCCAACCATTTTTTTCAAACTATTCTCCAAGGATTTATCTTTTTATCATTAGTACTATATTATTCCGATCTCTTGTTATTCTCATCTCGCGCTAATGAGGTATGGTAAGTTAGGTCAACATGTATCCGTATCGGGTTCTATGTTTATAACGTCTGTCTGTCTATCTATCGGATACTAATCCACTCAACTTTACCACCTGGATTACAAGTCATTGAAGTTTTCCGACTTAATCAGTAAATAAAACCTATATCATAACTGGGATATATGCTACCTAGGCTGATAGCTATAAGTAACATGTAGCAGCAAGCGGGAGTGTAGTGAAATGAAGAGAAAAAGAAGGAAATCGGAGTGTTATCTAAATAACTGAATTGGATGAATCATGAAGTATGTATAGGACAGTTGATGGATGCTGTGCGAATAATATATTTAATGTGTGATTTTGCATGAAAAATAAATTGGTTTGACCCACCTGCATAACAACTACAGCAATACAATCAAGTATGAAACCGCCATATACGCGCTCCTATTTAGGCGAATACATACTATTGGCTTTTTTTCTAGATCACATAGCATAAATTTGTCCAGGTACATACCTACTTTCAATTCAGTTGTATTAAACTCTATGGTATATCATATTCCAGTCAATTTACAAGAATCTATATAACAAATTCATATTAGTTTACACATTTCTATTCACTTTATGAAGCCTTAACCAAAGAATATGCTTATATTGTTTATTACTTACACAATCTAGCGTTCAATGAAATAACTCTAAAGTATTTTATTCTGTCATGCGTTCTCTGCCTACACTAATCTTATGGTGCTTTCATAACCGGGTCTATGTATCACTTATATTGCCTTATTTCTAACAAATGCTTAGCTACATAACGATAAGTATTATCACATAGTAATACTCGACTAAAACTACATTTTATATTTGTATTTTTTTCGGAATTTATCGTTGCCGTGATACTGTTTAAGAATCATTGCAATCATAATATCTGTCCCAAATATCTCATGAAATATCTAATGTACTCATAGAAAACTTCCTATAAGTGCTTTTTGTGCTTGTTTGGATAGCATCAGTTCAACTCCTTGTGTAGTATGTTAAGCATTTTTTTCTTCATGGCTGAAGTATAACAACAGCTCCCCTGAAGCTAGTCTTTTTTGTCCAACCTGCGTCTAATGTGTTTCACTGATTCCAATCACCTCCAGGTTGTATCTTTTGCAGCAACTTGGATGACTCTCCTGGTCTCCCACATTGTACGAACATGATAATAATAACTCATGGTTTGATACTTCGGGTCGTAAACAGTTTTTCGAACAAATTTCATGCAAATGAATTTGCTTTCATTTATTACATCGTGTAATTCCTTTGCTTTTTCATTAGGTCGGAATAAGAAACGACTAAACCGTAAACAAAAGTGTAAAAGTACTGTAAATAAACAACGGCAGAATATGGGGGGTTTCAATGATGACGATGAAGATTCTGATGATGTAGATGACTTAGATGATGATGATGATTGCATTGAAGATGATGATTTAGAGGAGAATGATGAAGGTGATGACGATCGTGATGATGATGATGACGACGAGGATGATGATGAAAGTGTTGGCAGTGGTGCAGATGTTGAATTTGTTGCCGACACACAAGAGGAACAAGAAAAGTTAGCCAAAAGTATGTCTCAAGCTCAACAACATATGGAAGACTCAGTAGTGGCTGCTTATGCTGGTAAGGTTAAGAAATAATTGACAGGTTATTGTTTATTTTGAAATTATTTACCTTTTTTTCCTCACTTTTATAAAGAAGTGTTTCAGACAAAGCTAATCGCAGCTCTAACTTTCATTGTCATTATGGTGTGTATTGTGTACACTGATTCTAGGAGTTGTTCCTGGTTCTGTGATTCAGTAGACAAACATATAACCTAATTAATTCGGAATTTTCTGTTTTCAAATATCAATGTATAATATTACTTAATTGTCTATTTAGCATTTACTACATTTATTTACCATTAACATACTTAGTTCACCATCATTACTACTGTTATGTTCTCTCACGATGCACCACTACTTCAACCGATGCATATTTGTTCCAGGACTATAATACTGTTTATGGTTAACTGTAGCTGTCCTCTAATTAATTGTGTTTTGTTCTCATTTTTGTTTATTTGAACACATAAATACTGGTACAAGGGGGCACCATATATTTGTGCACCACACAAAACAATGAGAATGGGAAGAGAAAAAGTAGGTAAGGAGCGTATAAGAAAAAAAAACAATAACGGCCACAGATTCGATTAAGGTAATGTTGTAATATTAATAATAATAATAATGGGGGAGACGGAAAGGTACAACCAGATGAATTCTTTCAGTTAAGGAAGACACAACCACTTTTTATGAAGAAAGTAAAAGAAGGTTACAGCAGGATTACCACTGGCCTCTATTCTGAGCCATATCTGATAACGTCTCTAGTCACTGTGTTGCCCCATCTCTCGGACCCCAGTCAGGAAGTCGAGAAGGACCAACGGAAGCAAGTCCTGTGCAGCTTTCCTTCATGCTACGACACCATGTCATACACTGACCACCTGTCCGCTTTTTCCAACCAGTCTCAGCGTCGGCAAATAATGCACGACGTGGAATTCTCTGGGACGGCATTCGTAGAACATGTCCAAGCCACCGAAGTCGGTGTTTCAAGATGGTGACACCAATTTCATTATCGTCTCTGTGACCGAACACTCGATGCCGAACCTCTGTATTACTAACATGGTGTTGCCACTGAATGTCTGCAATCCTTCGGCGGCAACGATGCTCAATCTCTAAGAAAATATTGTTAGGTAGAGAGAGCTTAAAGTATATTAGAATTTACTATGTTTACTTAAAGCTGCATACATATTAAACAGTTTAAATGTTTTTGTGTTTTTTTCCTCTTGAAATTTATTCAGCTCTCCTACTTGGCTGTATTCTACAGTCAAGTCCTCGTTACACCGATCGAATTAGATCCAAATTACCAGATGGACAATTTCGTCCATTAGCAATTATGTTAGCTAAACTACTTAGCTTTTTATCTTTAACTAAAGGTGTAGGATCATCAGGTTCTGAGTCTATTCTACGTATTGTCAGAATTTTAGAAGCACAAGATAAACAAAATACAAAAATATCAACATCTAATGATTGTGGTGACAGTTAATATTAAATAAATACTGTTCCTCTACTTCATTTTGATATTCCTTTTTTTTTGTCTGTGTTTACCATGTTCTCCTGTTGTTGTTGTTTTTTTTTTTGTATTACTCTATCTCTTGTACGTTGTCGCGGTCGTCGTTCTTGTTATTATTATGATTATTATCATTGTCGAGTATGTTATGCGTGCGTGCGTGCGCGCGCGCGTGCGTGTGTACATACATACACACATCCATACAGTTTAGATAGATGTAGAGGGATGTATGTGCATGTATTTTCAAATAATTTCTAGATTTATTGCACATAGTTTGTTTGTCTATTTACTTATTTATTTTCCTTTGTCTTTACTTTTCATCGTCTCGTTTATCATATTGTTTTTCTAATACCAATATACATTTGGTTTCCATCTTAGAAGCAATAAATGAATGAAATTCACATTTGATTAAATCATAATAATAATAATAAATAAATAAATAAATAAATAATACGAATAAGATTGTTCATCATTGAATATATATAACATTCATTTGAATTAATTTTAAACACCTTTCTTTTATGTGTATAAATTTGTAATACAAACAATAATAGTCATTTATTCAACTTTATTATTTACTTTTACTACATTATCTTTTGTCTGTTTATCTTTATTGAATAAAACTTTTTCTCTCTGAAACAATTTGATTTCTTTCTTTTTCTTTTCTCTATTTTTTTTTCTCTTTTCTCTGTTTTCTTTTCTACAGATTGATGTATATAATTATATAGTTGTTCTTTTACCTATCTCTTCTTATATATTCACTTGATTATATATTTATCTTAATGTATTTGAATAGTATTATCAATTGTACTATCTGTTTTTTTTCTGTTTTCAATGATCTATTTCATTGCCTTCTTTCTTTCTTTCTTTCTTTCTTTTTTTTGTTCTTTTCTTTTCCTGATGAAATAAATAATCTTTATAGTTGTTCTCTTTTCTATTCTTTGTTATTGTTTTCATTGTTGTTGTTGTTATTATTATTATTCATTGTTAATGTTAATGTTGACAAGTTGTCATAGTATTTTGTATAGTCTTCTATGATTGATAATGAAAATATAATTGTTTCTTCTTTTTTTTTGTTGCCAAATGCCCTAAACCTCTTTACTTATGGTATTTTAAATTATTATAGTAAGTTCCTTTAGTTGCTTCATCTTCTTCTTTTGTTTGTTTGTTTGTTTTTTCTTTCTTTCTTTCGTTAGCTTGTTTGTTAATGTTTTATTGAGAATGATACATGATTTGTTCAATGTAATTTTTTTCGTTTGTTTGTTTGTTTGTTTGTTGCTATTCACTTTCTTTCCCGTTTGTACATGTATGACTTCACTCGGGTATTTCTATAAATAATAACATTAATTTATTTTGTAAAATATTCCCCCTTTGAAATTTGTTTATTAACAAAGTTATTAGTATACTTTATGATTGTGTTTACTCTTTATTATTTTTATGTCTATAAAACATAATTTATATATAAAGTAGATAACATGTTCAAACTATAACTATTGAATCATTAGTATTTCCAATACGAGTTATTAATGTTAGGCAAAGAGTTCAAATTAGTTAATATTAGATGAGACTTCATCGTTTTGAGTTACGTATACCTAAATATTAGTCACCTAGATAAACAGTAGTAGCTATGGTTGGAGTAGGTTAAAAGAAACCTAGACATCATCAGTTTGTGAAATCGCGGACTGTTAAACGGAACGCTGTTGGTAGATACAGTCTACCTTGTTGAAGTCTTAACAAGAAGTAATCAGTGGTTGGGTGATATGTATCAAGATCTGTAAAAATGGCATAGATGCATTCAGTTTCAGTATACTTTTATTCATACTTTTTGATTCTGTATTATCAAACCAAATCCTCAACATTCGGTCACGGCTTCCATTCATTTTTTTAAAATTTATCCTGTGTTAATTTGATTGACCTGTTATCTTACAGTCCCCACCATCCCTACGTAGTATAGATAGCAGTAGTAAGCCCTAAAAATCGGTAGGGAGCCCGTGTTGACTTTGTAGTAGTTCGTACCAATCGATGATGTAACCAAGTATGTTACTCTACATTAATTTCTGTAATATTACACCACTAACTATGATTAGTCTTTGAGACAAACTGTAAGATTAAGCAATCTCCGTATACACACCTCTCACTGTAATATTAAAGAATAAACTTGTATTTTCACTGAAATTCGATAATAATATATGGTAAGCGATCTACTTAATGGACTTCCCTTAATCATTCATTTGAATTAACAAGGTTAACTTCTGTGAAGTTAAAGACTTTTAAATGTTCAATATCATCATCTAGACCTGACCTAATCAATCTAATATAATTTACTTTGTACACTCCCTAAAGTTAATTAATGTAACTACTAAACACCAATAACAAAAGATAGAATACAATAATCATTGATTTATGTAAAGCAACTAAACTGAAAAATGTGTCTACGAATTGGTAATAAATATGTTAGAGAAGAACTAGAGGTATATCTGTGTTAGTAAATTATGCTTTAGTAGACCTGCTAAAAGTTGCATGAATCGAATCCATCCGACAATTGTCTGTTGATTGGATGGATTTGCTTTATTATTAGTTGATATATATAACTCGATTCAAATTATCACTCATCGTTTGTAATGACTAATATGGACAATTTTTTTTTCTTACTCGATATTAAACTTTGATAGCTTATACTGTATACAATATATATGTAGGGTAGTATATGAAACATTAAGGCTTGAAGAACGTTTATTGTCTCGTGTCGGAATACAACTACAACACCACCAAGAACATTTTTATCTCATTTACGAAATTTTCAGGCCTTGAGCTAGTTATAAGCTGATGATCTCATATGAGACTGAAGGTTCGTTATTGATATTATGGATGGTTCAGCATTACTTTGGCAAGTTAACTGAATGTTCAATGAAATCCAAAACGAACATCTCATCAGCTGGATGTACTTGCACTGCTAGATATTATCCATCTTTGCTTATAAAAAATTACTTTATAATACTTCAAACTCTTAAACAAATACGCCTTTTTTCGTATTTTTAATTTTTCTTTATGAAACTCAATTAACATATAATTGAATAATAATAATAATAATGCCCAGTTTATCATCGAAGATTACAACGGTTGTTATAGCAACTTAATAGAAAATCAAATGTAATGAATGACAATTCATAAACAAATTAAAGACCGGAAATTTCAATAAGTAAAATTAAATATTAAAACTAGAAACAAAATAAAACTTAATAATTTCTATGTTTAAATTGAAGAGTAGCTTCGAATTCATGAAATATAGAAAAACGAATGACTGAAACCAGTATACTATATTATCATAATAGATACACCAGAGTATTCTATATATATCTAAAGGAGTTTATTGCGGATATTATAGCAATTTCAATAGTTGAGATCATCATAAGTCAATTGAAGCTAGACCACCATGGAAAACTTGGAAGTACTGGATGGCCGTTACGTTCTAGTATGAGATTATTCAGTAATGCGAATCCATCGGATCGTGAATGAGGAGTCCCACAATAGTAAATTAGTTCAGTAGAGTTATATCATATTGGTATAACTGATTAGTGAACAGCTCTTTTTCAATCAACAATATATAAATGGACTGTGGAAACCAACTGATTAGGAGAGAACAGTAAAGCTGATTTCATAGTATACTCATTCATATGTGGATTGAATTCGTAATAGATTGGTCTAAGTTTGGATAATCATTGAATTCTGTAAAGCACTGGATAATAGTTTAATTCTAATAGAAGACTTCTCAGTCAGCTGACTAGTAACGAATATAATCAACAAATAACTTCATCAAGTCTCCCTTCAGCTAAATAGAATTTTGAATGTTCGTTTAACGTTTATTGATTCATTGGTTATTTTATGAAACTGATTAATGCTATGTAAACTATCCAATGAGATTTCCTAGAAATGGTACTTTATTAACAGTCCGAAAACAGAAACAACAAGTTCACTTGGTATAGTTTGGCTTGTATCTTCCCATTGAGGTTTAAGACTGCAATTTATCAGTTTGTTATTGGTATATGTGCATACTATGCGTATGCCTCGATATTGCCTTAATTCACTAACATTTTTGTAATCAATGATGGATAGTGGCTAGCAGTGGAATCCAGGATGCGCGTTTCGTACTATTTGGGAGTCGTTAGCTGGATGTACCTGCATCTCAAAATCGATGATCACTCTGGGACCCGAACCCAGTACCATTCGTTTCAAACGCCATCGCGTTATCCATTCAGAAACAACACGTATTTTGGATGTAATACGAATAGACAACTGTAAAAATGTAAATGACTAGTTGTCGATACAAAGAATCCATGGATATGCCTACATCACCACATTCCAGCTTCAACCCTGTCGTCTATAATACGCAACAATCAATGTTACACGTCTTCCAATCAACTCCACAAATCCTATAATTTTTGATCATGTTAGAGGCTGTGACAGATTATTCACATATAACAAACTTCTTGAGAACCTCGGTGTTTCTCAAAATAAATTCACAGTTTATAATAATTATATTAATGGCATCGCATCTGATAACCCTAATATTCTCACAACAAGTGCCCACTGTTTTACGACGACGACGATAGTGATGACGACGTTTATTTCTGTAATCTGTCTCGTTGCTACCACTGACTGACTAACTGACTGACTGACTGAATGAATGACCGACTATCACATCAACCGAACCATCTTCATCCCTTTCCTAATCTCTCTCTCTCACACACACACACTCTCAGAATGCGTATATTCATGCATTGTGATCAAGCAGCTTCGTGATCATAAGCAGCAAATTAATAACTTCCCATTTCACTAACACTTCACTGATCAACACACACGCACACACACACACTCGCAAAATACACCACGCCACACCACATCACACCACGCTACACATGCCAACTTCTAATAGAAAACCGATGGAATGTTATAGTAATTGATCAAGTTGTTTATTTATCGGAAAAGTCTTAACACAATTGCGTGTGGATTTGTCGATAGATTATGTACACACATGTATGAATGATAGTAGCTGGTGTTGTTCAAACATTGTTCAAATATTGTTCAAATATTGGAGCGTACAAAATCCAACATTCTGGCCACACTGGCATACTCGACAATGATATCGGGAAGGTTTGGCAGTGTGACACCATGTGATACGACACCGAGTACTGGACCTTGAGGGGATGGAAGGAGAGGTCCACCACTGTCACCTGGAGCGGGTAACTGTCCGAAATTCTGACCTGATTTCACACAAATCGGATTGCCATTGGTCGAGTGTCGGCATTCCATTATAGTCGCTCGACCTGTGTCAAACAAACAACACAACACAACAGAACAGAAGATAACAGAACAGCGAAGAACAGACAAGTGAATTTACAAAATATCAACTGGCACAAATTATCCACCATCAAACTATGCACACAACAAATAGTCCACATGCAATCTCACTCATATGTGCGGTCTCACACGTGCACCATATCGGCCAATCAACTCACTGTCCATCTCACCACCATCACAACATATACATGAAACTGAGTGACCACCTACTTCATCTACAACAACACACTTCCATCGTTTGCACAAATATCTCATGAGTCTTCTCTCATCCAAGTGATCTCACTCACTCACTCACTCAATCACTCGTCTCATCCTAACCCTTCCCATCCCATCACGTCCCTACGCATCGCATCGCATCGCATCACACCGCACCGCCACAATGATCGAGATGGATGTGGAGTCTCTCTGCTAGTGAACTGTCACAGGTAGATCCGAACACAGTTATTGAGGCTCTGACCAACACAACAACCGGATCAGACAGACGGATGGATAGACAGAAAAACAGACACTTCGTGTCATGTTGCGTGGTCAGTACCACTAACTGACTTACTCATTCATGAGTCTTCGCCCATCCAAGTGATCTCACTAAATCACTCACTTACTCACTCACTCACTCACCTTTCTTCAAAATTCCACCATTTTTACGTTGTGGATCACGGTCGTTATCATCCCTTCCATAACCAACAATGAAAACAGGAGTTCCAGGTGTCGGTATATCCGTTGGCTGTGGCAGACTCAGCACTCTGATTCCAGTCTGTAAGTTGACCAATTGATGGAGCTTTACAATCGCAATGTCGAATCCACTGAGTGTCTGTTGGATTGGTCTCCTCTGTCGTGCGGACGTGCAAGAGGGCATGTATCCTGGTGCTACCACCACTCCAGACGGTTGGTGATGGACGCCTTGTTGGTCGCCATTCCTCAGTGTGAGAAATGAAACCTGAAATAGACAAAGTGTATCCACATTAGATCTATGCAAACCAACTGCACACACACACACGTGCACGCACGCACACACACACACACTGTGAAATTGATCGATTACATTGAGCAACAATGTGTTCAA